TCGCATTCGGCATTCTATCTTAATTGATACAATTTAGAAAGTGATAGTTTTTGTCAGCTACCCCCATCCCAAGATCATACCGGTGCCCTTTAATATATATGGTAAAAATATTATAATAAATAAATCCTGCAATTATCTTACTCTTGATACTCTGCTTTCGTCTTATTCTCTCGAAACTTAGTTTTTTGAAGGTTTCACTTCTAACACGTGTGATCTGCACACATGATTTTTTTTTCATTTTCATTTTTTATTTAAAATATACTTTAAGATTTCAAAAATCAAATGCTATTAACAGAATAATCAAAAATTGATCATTTTCAAAATTTATAGGCTCCAGCACCAATTGTTTCTCACATATATTATATAGTACTAATCGAAACTTTATACGCGTTTATTTTAAAACTATATTTTCCAAATTTGCAAACAGTGTAACTAAAATAATTTGTGAATTATTCACCTCAAATTTAAATAATATTCTGGAAACTATATTTTTGAAATAAATATGTAGGATCTTTTTTATAAGTTAAATTTCTTGTTAGTTACAGCCAATTTTATTGAAATTTTTAACGGCAAAGCGATTTACATAGGTGTTACCCTTTTAACGTACCTGTAGGGAAAATAAAGAATACATTATAAATATAGTAAAAAGTGAGTAAAATATCCATATTTCCCTGGCAATATACAAAGCTTTAAAATTTATAAATATTAGCTATTTTACTAAAAATTGATAATATATTGTAAGATTGCTCAAATCGTATTTCATAAGAAAAATGCATATAAAAGTATAAAATTTTATATATAAATAAGAAATTTTTATATTTTTTATATTATAACTTCATTTACTATTGATTTCATTTTTTTTAATGAAATTCGCTTTGAATATGATTTTAATACGTGAGTAAAATAAAAATATTAAAGGTACGCTTTCAACAGATTTAAGGGGTACCACTAAAATGAAATTTTGAAAAAATAAAATTTTTTTTGCATATTTTGATAATCTATACTTGTAGTTCCCAAACTTTTTTGTCCTATCGCCCTCTTACCTGAAAAAATATTACCTTTCGTTCCCTTGAACCCTTGACAATCTTTTTTTTTGCTAACTGCGAAAAAATTTATTGCACTCCTGACCTTTTTTTTATTGCACACTTAAAGTTCCAGTTTACCTGTGGTTATGTCAATCGTGTCCCACCAGGGCCCACCAGGCCCACCAGCGCTTTCTTAGATAACGTTTTCAAAATAAGATTTTCAAGTTCTAAACGTACTTATACAAAAAAGCCTAGATAATCATTGCTATTGACGTAGTATCGATATACTGGAGTTGTTGTGTAGCGTAGTATAGCAACGCGGGACGGCCTCTGCTGACGTTTTTTTTCTTTTAGTTATTCATTTCCCCTACCCCCAAAGTTCACCTGTGGTCGTCATCGCCCCCCTGGACCACTTCATCGCCCACCAGGGGGCTATATCGCCCACTTTGGGAACCACTGGTCTGTATCTTTAAAAATAACATACTAAAATTTCAAGTACATATCTCAAATAGTTTTTGAGTTACAGTCATCTAATATTTCTTGATTTATAACGATGAAATCAGTAACTTAAACTTTAAACGCGTTTTTCTCGAAACTACATTTTCTAAATTTGCTACAATTATAACTCGAAGATAAAACATCCGATCGATTTGATTCTTGTTGCAGCTTCTTTTATAAATATTTCTGCATACCATGAACCTCCAGTTTTCCGATCAAATAAAAAATGGAATTTTAACAGGCCAAAAATCATTAAATTTTCGCACGAAATTTTAAACTTTTTAAAACTTTTTTTGTTAAATTTTAATTCGACTGAGGTTCATGGTACGAGAAATTCCTTGTAGTTTAATAAACTTTATGGTTTTTTTGATTTCATGCACTGTGAAGGTCACTATAACTGCAGTATTGGGGGACTTTTCTTTTGGCCTTGGGAGATTGCGAATAACTCGCTTAATTTTCAATTTTTTGGTCCAAAAATTTTGTCTTATATTCATAACATATCTACAA